TTCAAAGAGTTTCGATAGGGTTTAGGGTCTATCGGGCTTTGGGCTTAGGGTTGTAGCTAGAACAGTTCTGTCAGGGTATTCTGAGGGACTTGAATCATAATGAGTGGGTATATTTCTACTTGGCTGTCCAATGTCCATGTTGTTATCGCGTCGTATCGAAATCATCGAAACCCTAGTCCATGTAGATATGCGGGCTTCTGTCTTTCCTTGTTTAGGGTTTATAGGGTTTAGACGCTAGCTCTCTATGTGTGGAGAAACACCTGTGACAATATATCAGTGCTTCTAGTGTTTGTGCAACTTCCCTTGAACAGTAGATGGGCGTGTCAAGAGGCGAACATTAAGCAACCGACCTCGACACCACCAGCAGGTTCACCATGAATCCTAGTATAGTGGCTAAATATTTACCTAAAGTAGTTTGGGGTTTTCTTATTGTAACTCGTATAATGGGCCCCAAAACCCTATTCTAGTTATTAAGGCCCCTACATTAAACTAACTGCACCGAACTCTTTTGCCACGCGATGCCTGAAGTGTACGATCTTATTTGGACACTCTTTCCTTCGTTGTCGCACCCCCAAACCCAAAACTCCAAACCCTCAACAACCCCGGCCCGAACCATTCAATTCCCAGACACACGCAACTCCCCAGGCTTCCAACCGAATCCACTTTCGACTCTTCCCCCAAAGCTGATATCATGAGGTCCCGTGATTTGGGTCATTGCCTCTGTTGCGGTTTCCTTTGGGTGTCCTGCTGGCTCGCGAGGGCTTCATAGTTTACGCTTCAAAATCTGGGTTTTTCGCCCTTGAACTTGTACACCAAAGGCTGTGAGAGAGGCCTGTCGTGCTGTTTCGAGTAAGTTCAGCACTCTGCAACTCTTTTGCTCAATCCTTGTTCGACAGACACCCATTTGTTGTGATCTTGGGTAAAGCCGCGAGAGCCCGCTGCCACGGCAACACCAAAAGCATTCAGCAAGACGAGAAAGGAAACGACTAAAACAACAAAACGGAAGCAGTGGCTAATTTTTATTCGACATTTAGGCTTTCCGTTATATAAGTCACAGAACGGGATGTTACGAACCCGTACTGGGAGAAGATACCGGCACGCAGAAGCCTAGTTACCTAGATTATTATGGTGCGTTGCAGCTCCTGACGCCCAAAAAAGCCCTTGTAGCAATGAGGGTACACTGGAAGATCTGGATACGGTGCAACTTGATTCAGGCCGTGGAGAGCCCGGAGACACAAGAAAAGCAACGTCAAGCCTTGGCAGAGCATGCTGCAAGGCCCACAGATGAGTGATGGGGGAGGAAAGGGGGTGGAGTTTAGGGTTTGATGCACCCTGCTAAACCCTAAACCCTAAACCCTAACCCCAAACCCCCTTAACCCGATAAATCCTAAATCCGATCCCTGAACCCTAAACCCTAATCCCTAAACCCTAAACCCTAAACCCAAACCCCCTAAGCCCTAGAAATCCTAAATCCGATCCCTGATCCCTAAACCCGGAACCCCACCATGGTTATCTCGGACTTTGCCATGGACGGCTTCAGTCTAGGACATTTTCAGGTGGGTAGTTACCGTTATAGGAGCTTTTTAGAAAGTCTATATACCTCATGGAAGCCTGATAGAAGCCCTATACACCCTAAACTCCCCACCTGTAGTTTCCTTTAATTAAGGGTTCATTGAGGTTGAAGGTTCCCCCTATTTCTTGTTGAGAACGGCTTTGAGTGTGTGCTGAGGGATGCTTGTCGTAGCAGTTTCCTGCCGTGGGTTGTTGGGTTCAGGGTGTTGTTTGCAGGCGTTAGGCTGTACCTATAGTTTTCATGTTCGAGGCTCTTTGGGTTGCCGTATGATTAGGACCCAAATAGAAACTGGCTAATGCCAACCCTAAACCCTAAACCCTAAACCGGTTTATAGGTAGGAAGTCTTCAAAAGCAAAAGGCAAGGCCAGCCCCGATAATATTCATCAAATGCTTTCAGTCCCGCGCGGAGGGCCTCGGGCTACATCCGCCCGGTCACTAGATGATGTAGGACAGGGTCTAGGCTTTAGGGCGTGCGGAGTTTAGGGCCTAGGGTTTAGTAGATGATGAAGTCTACCCAAAGCCCAGCAAGGCCATACAGATGTGCAGAGTACACGTGGTCTCTGGGGTATATCAACTCCCACAAAGTGACGAAGACTGTTTAAATGGACGGTCAGTTCATTTATTCAGACATGCCGCCGCCATTTCCTTTCAAGTTGCTGCCGCCGATTCCCCACCCTGCAACCTCCGAGGTGTCCAGGTCATGGCGATCAGATGATGTCGTAGCTACCAATACTAGTTTTCTTCTGAAGATTCCTTCAAAACGGTACATTCAAAATGTACCATATTGAAAGAATCTTAGGATTTTTTCCCACAGTGTCCTGTTCCAATGAGTAGGCCTCCTCAACCTAGGGTGTCTAGGTCTCTACAAAAACCCTAGACCCTAAACCTAAACCCAAAACCCTAGGGTTTTAGTAGATGAAGGCAATATAGAAGCCTAAATGATTAACGAAATTATTCCTTGGGGTTCCTTCTTATAGCTATACCATAAAGGAGCCCAAAACCCGCTTCCAACTACTAAGGCCTCTAACCCCTAAACCCCTAAACCCCCAAACCCCTAAACACCTAAACCCCTAAACCCTAAACCCTAAGCCCCAAAACGTAGCCTAAACCATAAACCCTAAACCCTAAACCGTAGCCTATACCCTAAACCCTAAACCCCTAAGGCCCCCTACATTACCCCCTAAAGGCCCAGAGGTCCGATAATCCCGAGATCTTGGCCCCAAAACTTTGGGAGGCATCCTGAGATGCAGCCGCCCAGGTGGGCCGAAAAAGGGAGTCGGTTTAGGGTTTAGGGTTTAGGGTTTTAGAGTTTTGAGGTTTTAGGGTTTTAGAGTTTTGAGGTTTTGGGGCTTTAGGGTTTTGGGGTTTTAGGGTTTTAGGGTTTTAGGTTTTGGGGTTTTCGGGTTTTAGGGATTTTCGGGTTTAGGGTTTACAGTTTAGGGCTCAGGGCTGGGAGTTGAGCTGTAAGAAGTTAGCTGGTTCAAGGTGGGTAATTTTAGGGCCCAGCAAGCTGCATGGTAGGACTGGCTTATGGGTGCTGCCGTCCGTAGGGTTTCAGGAAAGAGTAACTCACTCATGGGTAGACGGGCTCCTAGGATAGAATGCTCCAGAGCTTTGCTGCTCTAGAGCTCTAGGGAGTCGGGCTTTAGTAGTTCGGGCTTTAGGCCTCCAAGGTTTTAGGGCTCCAAGGTTTTTTGTTATGTTTGGAGACATCAGACCCCACGAAGCGCGGTGTTTCTGTAATTCAGGTCTTATAAGGGTAGACTGCTAAACCAACCCTAAACCCTAGACCCTAAACCGTTAACTGGAAACCTCTAAACTAACACCCCAAAACGCTGAACCCTAAACCTGCTCCCTTTGATTTAGCATTCGGGCTTAGGCTTTTCCGGCGGGACCGTTTTTTTGCGCAGCCAAAGCAGTGTCAGCTCCAGCTTTCAGGGTTTAGGGTTCTGAATTAACCCTAAACCCTAAACCCTTGTGCTTCAGCAACCCTAAACCCAAACGTCTGAACTCAAACCTTAAACCCTGACCCTGTTCCTTCACGTATTCTCAGCGCTCGAAGTTCAAGAAATTTCGCCTTCCCGGGAGTCCATGCAAGAATCACAATTGGATTCCTTATCCATGGTAATTTCAAGTTGGACTAAACTTACCTTAAGAACCCAAAACCCACTTTTTTGTAGGTTCTTATTACAAACCCTAATATGGGATTTATAGGGACCCTACAAAAAAAAATTAGGTTTTGGGTTCTTAAGGTAGGGGTTAGGATGTTCGGTGT